CCAGATGGTCGAGAACTTCGTTAGTTGGCTACCTGATTCTAACTTTCTTCTTTCTTTCTTTCTTTCTGTTTTTATCGAACTTTTCATACGGCTTCGATAGTGCTCTCAAAGTGTAAGCGCCATCTATAAATAGCATTCGGCGAAATTCCGAAGCTACCTTGAATATTCCTGATTCTCGAAAAACTAGTAAAAATGTGCAGTGATGCATCCTGAAAATACCGCAAAAGGAATTCTAAATCTGTCTCAAAGGGTTTGGTTTCCCGTGTATTGTCTCCGCAGATTTTAATTAAAATCTATGAGCGAATGCAAGGATCAGAAATAGAAAATTGTTGAAGTTATTCAGTAGGACAACTAAAGACTGTACGAAACCTCCAATATCTTCGAAAAAACATATCGAGGCGGAATATAAAACATAACGATGTGACTATCGATACTTCATTTGATATTGAAAGAAAACATGACATTCAATGGAATTTTTAGCAATTATCATAAGTTCATATAAATGAGTGGTTCAAAAACAAATTTTGAGGGGGTTATGTCGTATATTTAGTCAGCTGAAGGTATCAAAATTCTATGAGCCTTTATAAACATACTCGTATTACAGAAGAAATTGTGAAAACGAGTATGGATAGCGGCTTCGAGTTATAATGCACGATGTACATTCAAAGGAAACATAAAGTTCACCTTTTTTCAAATTGCACCCTCTGCTTTTTTATTAACCTTATTGTTTGACTTAATAGAGTCATTATCAAAACTATCGAAAATGGGAACTAAATTGTCCAGTCTTTCACATCCTTCAATCCGTAATAAACTTTCTGGTAATGATTCGTAACAAAATAGGCGATAAAAAATTTTCAATACTTTTGTAACGGATTTTAGGAGAAGTTTCATACTTTTTGATGAAGATTGACATCTGTGCGCATAAAACTGTTTCACTTTGTGATGTTTTGAAATCGATTTTTCATTGTATTTCACATAAATTCCTCAGTCTTTTCCATATAATATATCGAAGTTTCGGAAAAGGAAATTATTGGTTAAAGTTACATATAAGGTGTGATTTTGTGAGAGTTAAGTTTTACAGGTTGGCGGCACTGGTTGGTAATGGCATCCGAAGGTCATCTGTCAAAATAAAAAGTTTTTAGTATACTCTGCCATTTGATCATGGAAAGGAGCAACGATTGCAAATTGTTGAAATTTACTATCAAATTTCGTGCTCTGTGAAAAATGTGTATCGTTTGTTAGGACCATATCATGGTCGTCATAATCGATTTGGTGAATCAACAATTCGTGCTGTTATCACCAAATTTGCCACCAAGTTTACTTTGTTGGACATTAAACCATTATCTCGCATGCGTACAGTGCGTGTTGATTTGGGTTTGAAAGCCTATAAAATTCAACTTCTGCAAGAATTGAAGCCGAATGACCTACCACAACGTCCAATTTTTGGTGAATGGGCCTTAGGACACCTTGATGAAAATCCGCTGTTTATCGAAAAATTGTGGTCAGCGATGAGGCTCATTTCTAGCTTAACGGATATGTAAATAAACAAAACTGTCGCATCTGGAGTGATGAACAGCCACATGCCATACAAGAATTACCAATGCATCCCGAAAAAACGATAGTTTGGTGTGGTTTATGGGCTGGTGGCATCATCGGTCCATTTTTCTTCAAAGACGACCGTGGAAGAAACGTTAACGTCAACGGCGAACAATATCGAGCCATGATACGCAACTTTTTTTTGCCCCAGTTGACCGAGTTGAACTTGGTTGACATGTGGTTTCATCAAAAGAGCGCCACATGCCACACAGCTCGTGAAACAATGGATATGTTGAAGGATGAATTTGGTGAGCAGCTTATCGAAGCAGAGCCGCGGACAACATTTACATGAAGTTATCTTTAAAATGTAAATGGCAATGGCCAAGTTATCAATTACAATGCAAATTTTGAATATATGATGCAAATTGGGTGTTTTATTCGATTTAAAAAAAATACGCTTAAAAATCACCCATTATAAATGTCTAGTTAGTGAACTGAATTCAACATGTTTTAGTTATATCGAATATTAAATGTTTTTTCTTATTGAAATATTCATGAAATGTCATACTTAGCATACGAGACAAAGAGCAGAGAAAAGTAGAACATTTTCCCGAAAATGTACGATTAGCAACAAATTGGATGTACCATCCTCAACAATTAGAAAATATGAAGAACTTTCCCTTCATCTACAGAAACAACGTTGCAGATTAAAATAAAAATCAACAAAAACATAGAAAACCCCTACTACGGTTGAAATTAAGATTCTCTTTGCCTGTACAATATCTTTGAATATTGGGCCTAAATAGTTTGATGATATCTTTGAAAAGTTTGTTAAAACTTTCAAAAGATGACTTGAGACATTTTAAGTCACCTTACTGTATCATTCAATGTATAAAACAATAATTTTTCTCAATATCTTCTGGAACACAACTGTTATACAACAATTCATATAAATGCAAAATTATAATTGAATCATTAAAACTGCACCTCTAATACCGAGAAGTATATTTCAATTATGGCTCCTAATTTATTTTGAAAATAGTCCAAATGGTGACTGTGGCCTTCCTGAGACGTGAATATTTCAAATGAATATCTCTACATTTCCTTAAATGAAAAAGTGCCAAAGGTATATATGATTAATTAACTCCTAGAAAAGTGAATATTTCAGATGAATATATCCAAATGTCCTCAAATACAAAGAAAGTCATGAATAATTATCTCCCCTGAGAAGTGAACTTTTCAGATGAATATCTCCAAATGTCCTCGAATATGAAAAGACTCACATGAATAATTAAAGAGCTTTCGGTTTCATCTACCTGCGATATATAACCCCAAATCGACTTGTCTTATCTAAAGCCGGTACAGTATTCTCGTTATTCGCCACCACCTAGCCAAACTAAGCCATAATCCTTTTGTTGACCTTTACTCTTCCATTAGAATTAGGCAAATTCGATATACTTACCGAATACTCTGTCCGTTGTTTAGTGTATGCAACCAATTCGCCAACCAGAAGCGACCAGGAAGCTAATCCAGTAATCGATACGAACACATTGAGCTTTTCGAACAATGTTATGTAACTTTATCATTCTACCGTCTTGAGGGATAGAGAAATAACAATGCTCAATTAGCTTGATGCGTTTGACTAAACAGCAACTGACATTATCACTGATATTTGTATATACGGGGTCAATTCAGAAAAAAGGTGCATTTTGGATTAGTAGGTAGTTTGTTTCTCTGAAAAGGTTTGCCACGTTTTGTGTGTTCTTCGATTTCTTAATATCAAAGAATGAATCGAAGAATCTGTATTTTTTGAGTTGAAAGTAAAATAAAGAGTTCCAACGCACTTAAAATGTTGACTGTGTATTTGGAGATTCCACTTTGCGTGAAAAAAGTGTTTATAAGTGGTACATGAGCTTTACAGAAGACGAAGAAGATGTTCATGACGATGAGCGTCCTGGAGTTGCAACCATGTCCACAAACAAAGAAAACATGGAAACAGTGAACAGAAAGGTTTTATCGTCGAATCACTATTACGCAAGTTGCAGACGATGTTGGCATATCAATCGGCCCATGTCATGCAAAATTCTCGGATGTTTTGGGCATGAAACGTGTGACAGCGAAGTTTGTTCCGAAATTGGCTAAATTCCAAATTTAAAAAAACAGGTCGTACGGTTAATAAAGAACACTATAAAAAAGTAATGCAACGTTTGCGTGAAGCAATACGTCTTAAACGATCGGAATGATGGAAAATCAAATCATGGATTCTGCATCACGATAATGCACCAAGTTTTTGGCCAAAAACACCCTAGTCATGTCTCAACCACCTCATTACCCAGATTTGTCTCACTGCGACTTTTTCCTATTCGCAAAACTGAAGAGGCCAATATAAACATTTGTCCTTTACTCATCCAACTTTCTCCGTCAAATGCTTTTGGCGTTTTACTTTGATGTTGGACTTCTGGTACAACTTTCATATTCATTTGGGGCTGTACAATTCTTGTCACACATAAAGCGTCTCAACCTTCAATATAGCCCCATTTTATATACGTATATTTATGTTCTCTTGATTAATCTTGAAAATTAAATGGGTAGGTGGTGAAAAATATTTTAAGGTATTCTCATAATACAATTTTCCAAGTTCTTGTAAGTATACCAGCTGTGTTTGGTGTCGAAATGAATTAAACACAACTATCAAATGAGAATTATTGTCACAATATGCAAATCGAATCGTTAGCTTGTTCAAGTCAACATGGCAACAACCGTTACCACGCTAGGTTCTGTTACTTTAAAATAATTGCTCTATTGTTTCAAGAAGTTATAATTAAAATTTTGCGAAGTAGTTGAATTTGAGTTTCGTTTCTCGACTCCAGTGAGAATATGCAGAACGTTTAATATGTCTCAAAGAAGTAGAAATAACGTGTTTTGAAAGTACCGTGATCAGTATAACTAATTAACTTATTTCGTTGGCTTAACCTTAATAACTGTTTCTATTTGAACACTTTATGGATACCAGATGAAGAAAACAATATTTTTGGAAGATTTTCATGTGGTATCTTTAAATTATCACTATTTTCCAAGTAAGTACTCCAAATTTCATTTTCCAGGATACATATATCGCATAAACAACTCCACAATATCTCTCTTCAAAACTTTCCCTTGAAAAGTTGTTTTCATTATGTTAATTATCAGAAAATAGATAATAAAGCTTAAGTTTCATTATTCGGATATTTTTAAGATATCGATGCATAATTTATTTTGTTAAGTATAGACTCGTAAAAATTATATGAGACATTGAGTGAATTCTACCGATTAATTGATTTCCAGATGTCATTATTATCCAATTTTTTTTAAATTCAGTGGACGTACAGTTTAACGCCGGTTCCGAACGGCCATTGGGCATCATTAATGTACATAACCCAACATATATCATTCATTAAACTACATAAATCATAGACAAACACCCATGCCTTCAGCGGGGCTCGAACCCGAGTGCTTACCGCTCCATAGTCGGGTGTTCTACCAGCTAAGCTACATAGACCATACAAAATTTGTTAAGAATATTTAAACTTTCACTTAAAATTGATAGCAGGAAATTGTTCTTGTTTACCAATACCAAACAACAATGCTTTTGCTTGCTTATTAAGATGCTCTCTTGAATAAAAACCCAAACCATTTGCCAGATTCATATAAACTAGCCGTCTTCATTAAATCCATACAGACAACTATAATACTTTATACAAGTAAATATCGTGAAAATTCTCTTTGACAACTTGAGTTTAAACACGTCCGAATGTAATACCAAGATCACTTGATACCTTTTATGTTTGTACATACATCAAAGTGATAAGTATTTATCTATATATCTATAGATTCGAGTTCTCAGAAAATATCATTCCTATCGTTTCATCATGTGGATTCATTCGGTGAGATACCTCTCTTTAAAATGAAAGCCTAAATAAATTGCAATAATAACATAAACCTGCGATTTTCTTTGGATGACAGGTTGATGAATTGATATTGAGAAGTACAATATATTTGGAATTTTATTTGACAAGTTGAGGAGAAAGAAATCGAAGTATGATAACAAGTATCATAAAAAATTTTCAGTTTAACTTTTGAAAATGGGACTAACACCCCAAAACAATTGTCAAGTATTCATTATAATTTTTGTGAAACCAAGTCAAATGTTGTTTATTTAATATATTAAACTTAAACAATGTTTCACCAAGAGATCAGCGAACATTCAATAAACTTTAATTATTTATTTATTCATTTATCTATTTATTGAACATACACTGTTTTACTGGACAAGTCCTTATTACAAAACAGGAAACACAACATATACAAAAAACAAAATTGGTAGTACGAAAGTTCAAAAGTTTAAATTTTGTACTTTCAAACTCAAAACTTTAATCAATTTTAAACGAAGTAGTTTGTGATATAAATCACAACTGATGGAATGAAATAAAATAATTATAGAAGTAAAAGAAAAAAACTTAAATGCTGACCAAACTTATACATACATATAAATTCACATATTAACACTTATACACACATAATTATATGAGTGTATATGAATTCTGTTCGTGAATATATTTAATAACAAGATTACTTCGTACCTCTCATATCCATACTTGTATCGAACTGATACGATTTATCTACAAATCTATATAGTTATCTATCATTTCGAGTCCGCAGATAATATCAATCCTAGAGTGTCATTATGTAGATGCCATCAGAAAGAACATTAGGCTGCGCTCTAAAATAAAACCCAGATTAAATTTGAAATAAGGTATAGTAGCCAAATAACGCCTCCTTTTTGTAAAATTAAAATAAAAGAAAAAATATTACGAGTTGAGTAATCAAACTAACATAAAACATCTTGCCCTAGAAAATTTCTTGGAACATTTTTTCTGAACTCTAATATAGGTACAATATTAAATAAACGCCAAAAATCTGTCGTCTGATAAAATTAATCTCCGTTGGCTCCTTAGATATGTAAAATAATAAAATGAAAAAGGCATATTCTATTTTATCCTACATAATTTACGTTTCACCAACAAAATTTAATATCCGCCAGTTGAAATTAAATTGTCAGTTTCCATAAGCGTACGTTTGAATGCTTCATTTTCAACAGCCGCAATGTTATTCCAATTTACACTTTTCGCTTTAATTTTATTTTTTATTTTCAATATCCTGATGCAATTTCGAAGCTAATATAATATTTAGTCGACAACTATGCCACTTATATATGGGTACTGATATTGAATCCAAAACAAAGAGAAAGTTTGAGTTAGTTTAATTAGATGTTGAAACTTTCATATTTGTACAGCAGACTGACTTTGGTTTTTTGATAAAAAACACAATTTTCATCTGAGGGTGACTTCTGCTTTTTTGAAACTAATGAAATATTCGATTTTTTCTAGAGTACTCAGTAGTAGCTTTAATATGTGAAAAACTTATTAATGAAATGATTACGTCTGATAATTCTCAAAAATAACTCGAAAGAATTTTTTCAACTTAGAACCTATATAATTATATGTATATTGTATTATTATTATTGTAATTGTTTATGTAGTTATATACAATTTTCGGAATTATATATACATATATAATTCCGAAAACTGAAATAAGAGACATACCCAAACTCATTAATAATCAACACTTCAACATGGCAGAGATAACACTTTTTTAGATTCACACACTTCTATTCGACAACTGTAGCGCCTGTTTCTCCATTACAACGACATCTTCAGACATCGTGATGATGAAAAGCACTGTTTTTTCTTACCATTTCAAATCTGAAATGGATGACTAAGGCGGCAACGGACGTAAATATTGAAATTTCAACTTTGAAATAAATCAATGAGTTAGAAAAATGTTCGCAAATAAGAACTATATCGAAAAAAACTATATATGTCAATTAAGTGTTCGAAAATTTATTGCGGATTATGTAGATAAACGCATTCGCTATCCAGGGGCTCGCCTGCAGAGTCCTATTGCCCTTACTTTTCCCATTGTTGTGCTTTGGGACCTCAAACTACCGAAAATAAAATATTGCCTTCGACAACAATTGACACATTCTATATAAATTCAGAAGGAAATGGAAACCACAGTAACCATGAGGATATATGCAACTGTCCGGAGAAAGGTTGAACTTAACTGAGCCCACAAGGAAGGGTAAACTGAGGGGCACAGATAGAATAGCTAGGGCACAACACCTTGAGAGGAAAGAAATTTGATGTAATTTTTCTGTAAAACTCATACGATTCAAAAATTTCACTTGTTCTTTGACTATTCGATATGCACCTATTTTCAAAGCTTTCTTATATTCTCATTTTTCATATAATACTATTTTTACAATACTAATGTTTCACCATTGATCAGCGAACATTTAATCAACTTTAATAACAAGATCACTTGGTACCACTCATATTCATACTTGTATCAAAATGATACGTATTTATCTACAAATCTATGTATCTATCATTTCGAGTCCGCAGATAAGATCAATCCTAAAGTGTCATTATGTAGATGCCATCAAAAAAAAAAAAGATTGGGCTAAATCAAGATGTAGAACAAGAGTATCGTTGAAATTCAATTTGACAACTTGAGGAGAAAGACGTCCGAATATAATGGAAAGATCACTTGGTACCTCTCGAATTCATACATCAAACTGAGACGTATTTATCTACAAATCTATATGTCCATAACTTCGAGTTTGCAAAAATTTTCATTCTGAAAGTGTCATCATGTAGATGGCATCAGCAAAAATATTGTGCTGCTCTCTAAGATAAAGCCCAGACAAATTGCAGAATCAACGTAAACCTGCATATTAAAAGAATAAAAGGCTGAATACTCAAGATGGAGGAGACCCACAGTATCTTTGACATTTTCATTTGAAAACTTGAGGAGAAAGACGTCCAGATATAAAGAAAAGATCACTTGGTACCTCTTTTATTCATACATCAAACTGATACGTATTTATCTACAAATCTATATTTCCATAAATTCGAGTTTGCAAAAAAACTTCATTCTGAAAGTGTCATCAAGTAGATGGCATCAGAAAAAAGATTGTGCTGTTATCTAAAATAAATCCCTGAAAAGGTCAACATGTAGATGGCATCAGAAAAAAGATTGTGCTGCTCTCTAAAATGAAACCCAGACAAATTACAAGAACAACATAAACCTGCTATTCAATCGAATGAAAGGCTGATGACTCAAGATGGAGGAGAACTACAGTTCCTTTGAAAATTTTATTTGAAAACTTGAGGAGAAAACGTCCAAATACAATGGAAAGATCACTGGTTACCTTTCATATTCATTCATCAAATTGATACGTATTCATCTACAAATTTATATTTCCATAACTTCGAGTTTCAAGTTATTTCAAGTTAAGAAAGTTTCATTCTGAAAGTGTCATCATGTAAATGGCATCAGAAAAAAGATTGTGCTGCTCTCGAAAATGAAACCCAGACGAATTGCAAAATCCACATAAACCTGCGTTTTGATCGAATAAAAGGCTGATGACTCAATATGGAGAACCACAGTATCTTTGAAAATTTCATTCGAAAACTTGAGGAGAAAGACGTCAAATATTATGAAAAGATCACCTGTTACCTCTGATATTCATACATCAAACTGATAAGTATTTATCTACGAAGCTATATTTCCATAAATTCGAGTTTGCAAAAAAATTAATTCTGAAAGTGTTAACATGTGGATGGCATCAGAAAGAAGATTGTGCTGCTCTTCAAAATAAACCCCAGATAAATTGTAAAATCTTAAACGTACGTTTCAATTCAGTGGAAGATTCATGAATCAAAAAGATGAGGAACTTCATCATTGAAATTTCATTCGATAACTTGAGAAGAAAGAGGTACAAATATAATAAAAAGATCACCTGTTATTTCTCATATTCATCCATCGAACTGATATTCATTTATCTAGATATCTATATATTTGCAAATCTGAGTTCGCAAAAAATTTCATTTCTAGAGTGTCATCATGTAGATGCCAGTAGGAAGAAGATTGTACTGGCGAAATGAACAAGAGATTCTTCATTCAGGCCATTGTTCAGGCTCAGATTGCTCTTTCAAATCTGCGTGTGAATGCAGACAACGCAAAACAAGGTATTCTTTATTGTCTGCTGATAATAATGGCGGCGAATGCGATTGTCATTTCCATTTCGAATTGTAGTACGAACCCACATTTCTCTGTTTTATCTCCACGAAATGTAAATAAGCTCGGGAACACAAAACTCAGATAGCGATGTTGGCACGCTGATATGATAGTTTAGTTGTGAAGTGACGATGCAAACAGGAGTAGTACGATGTTGAATTTTGATGATGAATATGGCTAAAAGGGAATCGATTGTGGTAATTAGGTACAGGGTAACGAGAGAAGGTCAGTGTGAATATTTCTCATTAGCTTTGACCAAACCGAAATTTGGTATACTAATTGGTAGAGTCTTATTTTGTGAAATGTCGCTTTTGAGCTCTAATAAGGTCAGTGCCTTTTATAGACCGGTTCAGTACA